TGCTGCGCTGTCTGCTGCACCCGCCAGCAGCAGCAGCAGCAGCAGTGCTTGCTGCAGGTCCTTGAAAGGCGGGGAGGGGGGCCCCCTGCAGCCCATGGGGGCCCCCACGGGGGCCCCTTGGGCCCCCCGATCGCCGCAGATCGCTGCAGCAGCAAACCCCAGGAAATCTGCTTCCTCCTGCTGCTGCTGCAGCAGCAGGAGCTGCTTCTTCTCTAGTAGCAGCAGCAGCGTGAGGTCTTCTGCTCGCTCTGTGCTGTTTCTGCTGCTGCTGCCGTTGCTGCTGCTGCTGCTGCTGTTGCTGCCGCTGTTACTGCTGCTGCTGCAGTGAACAGAGGAGCTCAGGAGGGCCCCCCATGCAGCACTGCGGGCCCTCTGCTTCGCTGCATGGGGGGCCCCCTGGAGGCCCAGCGCAGCAACTCGAGACTGGACGAGGCCCCCAATGAGTTCCCCTATACTTCTGCTGCTGCTGCTGCTGCTGCTGCTGTTGCTGCTGCTGCTGTTGCTGCTGCTGCTGATTACAGGTTTGCTTTTCATGCGGACGAGGCTGACATTCTTTCTTGCAGCAGAAGAGATACTTGGGGGCCCCCCAGCAACAAGACGGGCCCCTCCAAAGGGTACACGGGGGCCCCCCTCCCCGAAGAAGCTGTGGGGGGGCCCCGGGCTGGAGCTGCTTGCAGCTGCCATTCAAAGGGTACAGTTGGGGGCCCCCTACGTCCTGCGGGGGCTGGGAGCCCCCTGTCTCGTGAGAGGGGCCCCCTCAAGCACAGCGAGGGTAGGGGGGCCCCCCAGTGTGTTCGGGTCGGTGGGAGGGGGGGGCTCGAGGAGAAGCTGCTGTGTTTGTTTTGTCTCTTAACAAATATAAATAAACAATTATATAAATTTAATTGATAAAAATAAAGAAAAACACAACTCAACAAATAAACAAAGTCGGGGGGCCCCTAACTCTTCTTGGGGGCCCCCAGGAGGGTACAGCAGCAGACAGAGGGGCCCCCTATAGAGGAAACCCTAAACCCTCAAATCGAATACTCCATCTGGAAATATATTTAGGGTTTAGGGTTTACGGTTTAGGGTTTAGGGTTTAAGACTCAGGGAGAACTGCCGAGGGTTTAGGGTTTAGGCTCAAACCCTTTTCACTATATATCAGCAGTACCAGCTGTCGGAGGCACAAACCCTAAACCCTAAACCCTAAACCCTTGTCCCTATACGCTAAGCCATATGGGGCCCCCATGTGGGCCGTCTCTCCGGATTCGTGCTTGACCGAAGGCTTAGGGTTTAGGGTTTACTAGGGTTTACTAGGGTTTACTAGGGTTTAGGGTTTAGGGTTTAGGGTTTCGAGAGCCCTGGCAAGATGAAGTTCAGCGCTTCTCTCCGCCTCGAGGCTCTTCCTCACCTGATAGGTAGGTGTTTCCCGTTGCTGTGCACCGTGAGTGTTTACGGTTTAGGGTTTACTAGGGTTTAGGGTTTATGAGGGTTTAGGGTTTGTGTTGCTGTCGCAGGCATAACCGCAGCACTGCAGCGGCTAGCTAGGGGGGGGCCCCCCGGCAGCTGCTGCTTAAAGCTGACCCCCAAGAAGCTGAGCCTCAACACCAGACAACCCTCATGCGAGCTCTACGCCGAGCTCGATATGGTCTCTAAACCCTAAACCCTAAACCCTAAACCCTAATTCTTCTTAGTCCCGAAACCCTAAACCCTAATTTCCCCTGTATGTTCACTGAGCCCAATCTGAAAGCGTCACCCTCCTAATATTTAGGGTTTAGGGTTTAAGATATACTACCCTGTGCGTATTGCGTATGGAACTTTCATGAGGGTTTAGGGTTTAGGGTTTAGGGTTTATGAGGGTTTAGGGTTTATGTATGCAGGCAGAAGTGTTCAGTGTAGGCTGGATACTAGAAAGCAAACGCAGCAACTGTGTGGCTCTCCAGATAGAGCCGCGGCAGCTCCTGGGGACGCTGAAGCTGGCTCAGAGTTGCCGGCGTATCACAGTTAAACTCGCCAAGTAAACCCTAAACCCTAAACCCTAAACCCTAAACCCTAAACCCTAAACCCTAAACCCTGAATAAACCCTAGGGGCGTTCAGAACACTGCTCG